AAGGTTCTTCACTACACCATTTTTTCTAAAAGATTACTTTAGAAATAATAAAAATAATAATAATGGAAAAGATTCTATAATATTTTTTCTTAAATATTTTTCAACATTCCCTTAATATGGACTTAAGCATTTAGAAGAAGAAAACACTTATTTTGTTCGCTTTTACTTGTTTAATATTGGGCTTGACATATATCTTTAGACAATATATAGAATATTAATTTTGTTATATTAATATTTAAACATAATAAATATTATTTTTTAAAAGTTTATAAAAAAAATATCTATAATTAATAATAAAAGTAAATTAAAAATTAAGTCATAAATTATTTCTTAAAATTTTAAATTGGATAAATAAAATTAAAAAATTACTTTTAATAAATATAACGGACAAATAAAAATGGATAGAAGAAAGTAGTTTATTGGTAAAAGGAGGTGGGGAGGTGTAGTAATTAAATGGAAAAATTAATTAAATGATATTCGGTTAATCTTCCTCTTCATGTATTGGATGTAAAAGGGAAAAGAAGTTTTGATTTATTAGTTATTTTTATTTATATGTCGTTTTTATTAAAGATAAGATATTTGTTAATATTTATTATTTTATAAAATTACTATAGAAATAATATTTTATTATTGAGAGTTATTAGCATTAAAAGTATGAATTTGACCAATATAAGTGAATTTAATGATTAATTCATGTTCATTGACCAGTTTAATTAATCAAAATAAATTAATAAATATTTATTTATTGATAATTTATATTCAAAAAAACGCTAAATAAAGGTATAACTGTAAACTTACCTAATTTCTTAAAAGACGTGAAATCTAAAGTAGTAACATATAAATAGAAACGAAGAAAGTACTGTTTAACAATAATCAATTAATGTAAAATATTAACACTATATCCTAATACTTAATTATAATAAGTTATTAGAACTAAACATTTAATTAATTATATGAAATTATATTAAGTGTATATATCAAGAGTACTTAAGTTTGTTAGCAAGTCAAACTAAGTGATAAACGCGATTATCCAAAATTATGACTTTTTACCATGTAATTGTCAAAATGCTCTTGTTAAAACATAAATCCTAATTATCTCACTATAAATTAATGATTTATTATCAATATTAATGAATAATTATCAATTTAAGCATTTTTATTCAAAAATAAGAAGTACTAATTGATTATTATCTAATTTTTTTAAATGACCAAAAACGAATAATCATTATCCATTTCACCACTTCTATTTGAAAAAAAAAAGTTCTCTTGTTTATTTTATAAAATTAATTTTAACATATACTTATCGACTATTTTTAATCAGCTAAATTAAAATGATCTTATATTGTGGCCTAAAAGACAATTTACCAACTTTTTAAAAATGAAAAGGAGACAATATCCAATAATTCAGCTGTAAGTTATGTGTAAGATCATATGAAAAGCCAGAGGATAATACCACTTGATTTATATAAATATAAAGAATCTTATTATAATTTATTTGTTTAGATCTAGGATTTATAAAAAAAAAATTATGTATTAAGATATAATTAAACAAATGGTTTAATTAATCAACTCCTAACTCGTCGCCACAGCACACGTTCATGCACATGCAAAATCTAATTTTTTTAAATTAGGAGACAATTGCTGTAATTCAAAATTAATTAATTAATTATATAAGGTGCAACTATATAATATATTATTTTAATTTATGATACTCTATTTAATACTAATATTTCTTGTCTGAAGATGTGACGTATAAGAGACGATTTGTGGGACAGAACAAATATGTGGTTATATTATGTAAATTAGTAATATTAAAAGTTTATAAAAACAACAAAAAGTAATTATATAGTTTTTCCTTAAAAGAGTAAATATAGATTTTAGTACCTGTGATTTATGAACAATCATTATGGATAATGTTTGTATTATCTATATTATCAAGATTATTGGTAGAATTAATCGATACTTATTCTTTAGATATTATTGATATTGCTTCTTTTCTTAATCAGAATTTTTATTTGTTTAGTATTCTATTCACTTAGTTGTGCATCTAAGTGGCCTAATTTCATGTCGAAGGGAAAAAGGGTCTGATATACCGTTCAATTTTATCATTCGTTATAAAAGTGACTCATATATGTCCTTACCGTTATACAAACAGTAAATTTGATTTTATTATTCTTATTTTATTTTTTTCTTTCATTCCTTAGTTTAAAGGAAAAAAAATTTAAATTTTTTTTGTGTGTATTGTAATTTAATTTCGTATTCGAAGAAAAAATTTAGTCATCTACAATAAGTTTTACAAGAATATTAGTGAAACATAAATAAATTTGATTATTAAAATAATAATTATAAATTAGTCATTGAAACAAAAAAAGTCAAAAATATGTTTGACGAGGATTAAATTTAATCATATGGGATTCTATTTTTTAGAAAAGAATAATAAAAATTTAGATTAATTTTTTTTTCATTTCTGTTAGAGGAAAAGCGTATATGTGAGCCATTTATTTACAAGTAGGGATATATATGAGTCAATTTCATAACAACGAGTATATCAGCTCTAAATGACAAAATTGAGGGGTATATCAAACCCTTTTTCTTTCTATATTTTATATATGCATCTATTTATAATCATCTAACATGTATCGATAGTACACGGAAATTTCTATGCTTTTCATGAATGTACAATCAATTATATTTTCATTTATGTTAATTTTATACATTATTTTTTAAAAAATTATGTGTACATAGGCACCCCACATAGAGGGGTAAGTCTGTCTCTGGTTAATATATAAATAAATAAAAATATGCTTTACCATTTACTAGTAAGTAATAATGAAATATGGCTATAATACCACTAGAGGAATTTGTGAGCTCCACTATTATTAAATTGAGATTTTTAGTCGCAATTAATTAATTGCAAAGGGTTATTAAATATATATTTTTAATAGTAAGTAGTACTCTTTGTAAATGTTTTAAAATTTATAGCATTATTGAATTTAATGATAATTAAGTAATATTGGTACAAATTTTAGCATTTTTTGTTAATGTGCAAATTTATTGCCGCTAAAAATTGTTTTGTTGCTGTGAGGGTCATAATTAGTACAATACATGACCTCTTTTTTATTTTTCAATTCGAAAAAATATTATTCCTTCGTTCACTTTTAATTGTCATGGTTTCCAAACTATATTGATTAACATTATATAATGTATTTTTTTTTATCATATTAATATACAAATATTGCTATTTAGTACTTCTTGAATAGTTTTTGAATATTTAATTTTTTTTTATTTTAAAATATCGAATTAATATAATATAATTTAGCTTTAAAATTTAATTAAATTATCTTTCGAAAAATATAATATGACAAATAAAAATAGACAAACAAAATAATATGTTTAACTTTGATGTATAAATTAATATCTATTTAATTTTTTATTGCTATAATGAACTTTTTTACATTAGTATATTAATACTTTTATTCAATAAGCATGTGTGGTGTATATATTTGTTTTTATCAATTTAATAACTCACGAGTGTTTCATTGACTTACACGATGATTAAAGAAAAATATATGTGGTGTCACACTTTAACCTTTTGAATGTTATAAACAAAATCAAGAAAAATTGAAATATCATGCACAAGGGGAGGTTGGGCTTTTGCCTTTAGCCCCTCAAAATTTTGAGGCCCAATTTATAAAAAGAAGGAAAGAAGAAAAGGAAAACTTAAATAAATATACAATAATAAAAAAATATTTATTATTTATAGTAATAATATTTTTTTTCACTTGACTACTTTTAATTCTTTTATAATACAAGTTTAATACATATTACAGAGAACAATTTATTATTCACACATAATACAAGTTTTACTGATGGATAATATATTTATCAAACATTTTAATACACTTATAATACAATGTAACAATTTTTTACCAAACAAACATAATATATTTAAAAAACAATTGTAATTCAAATATATTGCATACATAATTTACTTTTAATACATATTACAGATTTATCACAATATTGCTATAAATGGTAATAAACTAAAAGTATCGCTAAAATTAATAATTATTTTTTAAAAATATATTAATTTATGTAACTTTTTTAAGAAAAAAAGTTGTTCTTCTTTCTAAGACTAATATTTTAGAGCTTTGAATAGAGCTACACAAATCTTTAAAGTAGTAAAACCTTTTTTGTAACAATAGGATCCAATGTAATGTATACATATATCAATATTGTATTAGTTGATACATTGCAATTAAGTGAATGGATATAATGTATACATCTTTTGATTAGAGCCATGTTGTAGCAAATATTAAACAACAATTGTGAATGCTTTATGGGTTAACAATAATTCAGTTGAGACATAATTTATTTTTTGTTAATTGGTCACATTTATTTTTTGTTTTCCTTTTTCATTTTCATATTTTATTAAATATACTTTTTGTTCTCCTCTTTCATTTTAATATTTTATTAAATATACTTCAAACTGAACTTAATGAAAATATATAAGTGTGCTTTGGATAATTTAAATAGTAGATTTTTTTTGATAATTATTTTTTTTGGCAATTGATTATTGTTCTCTTTTGCCATAAAGAACATGTATAAAGAATTAATCTAACATACAAAAAAGAGCAAATTAAAATTAAACGTGAGAAGACAGGGCAGGACGGAGCGGGCTATAACATTGAAAAAAATTTAAATGGAGCGGAGTTGAGCGAGCTCAAATCTTAGCAGGTTGAGGCTTGTCATGCCGTAACCCCCACCCCAACCCGCCCTATTTTCATTCCTATAATGCTACATCAAGTCAATACATATAACTTTGAAACATAAATACTTCAAAAAAAAATAGGGCAAACACTAACAAATATTACTAAGAGAACCTTGTTGATCAAACAATTATAGATCAGAGACTACATATATAATTAATACAAATCAATATTATAAAAAAAGCAAATAACCTAAGAACACATACAATAAACTTGTTTTTTCAACTTGTGTCCATGATAATACTACTACTGTTTACCAAATTGTGTAATTAAAACCAAAATTACTGATTGTAATAAATTATTCAGAAACACGAAGTAATTGAAATTTGTCGAATCAGTAAGCAAGATGAACAGAAATTTATTTTAGAAAATATTTAAAACAAACGTACCAGAAACTGATACAATCTTTTAGTTTGGAAGAAGATCAAGTCCACTCAACTCACAGTGTCCTCTTAAGGAAATTATTCCACTCTAATATCTGTAAGTTTGATTTTGAAGTTCTCAACTTTTCAAATTACTCTCTTTCCTTCTATTTCCCATCAATTCTTGCTACATACCCAACAACTACATCCTTTCTTCGATAGTAACTGGGAAACCTCCTTTCATCTTGGCCGTCAAATACGATATAAACATCGGCTCCACCCCTTTCTCCACCACCGGAACCACCTTAAACCGCTGCAAAACACCAGCCACCACCCTCTTCATTTGCAAAAACGCCATTTCTTTCCCTAAGCAAACTCGCGGTCCTGCTTGAAAAACAGGATAAGCGAATGGATCTTTTCCCACAAACATCCAATTCCCCGTCATTTCATCCTTATTCAACCATCTCTCTGGCTTGAACTCCGCCCAGTCTTTTCCCCAAATCTCCTCCGATCTTCCCATTGCGTAAGGATGATAAGTAACCCTCATCCCCTTCTTCACAAATGTCCCATCGGGCAATACATCATCTTTCATGACTTCTTTCGAATCCATTGGTACCGGAGGATAAAATCTCATGCTCTCACAGAGCGAGGCGTGAGTATACATCATGTTCTTCACCTCGTCGTATCGCATTGAAACATCCTCTTCTTTTCCCCCAATTTCTCTCAATATTTCAGATTCCACATCTGCATTCTTCGAAATCAACCAGAAAAACCATGTCAACGCAGCTGAAGTCGTATCGCGTCCTGCTAAAATAAAACTTATCACTATATCAACAACGAAATCTTCATCAGAGTGCCCTGTACTCAAAAATCTCGACAACAAATCAGCTGAATCCAACGACGATCTCTCATTCAACTTCTCCCTCACTATTCTCTTCGCAAACTCACGCACTTCTCCAACTGCAATTCGTAATTTCTTCTCAGAACCAATACCAAAAGCGCGTTTCATTTTCCAAATCAACGGAAAAGGGACAGCAAATCTCTCACTGCTCAATCGAACACAATCTTCAAATGCTACCGCGAATTCTGCTTCAGGTAAGTTAGGTAACAAATACTTTGGATCATAACCAAATGCAATTTTACAAATGTTATCAAATGCGAACCTTTGCAACACGTCTTGTAGATCGACAACATTTTTCTCAGCAGCAGCGTTCGCGAGTATGGGAACTAGACGTTCAGATACCTCGACATCAACTACAGATTCAACGAATTTTCGTAGTGATCTAGTATTGAATTCGTGGCTAGCAACTTGTCGTTGATACTTCCATATATCGCCATCGACGTTGAAAATGCCATTACTGAGGAAATCAGCAAGAGTGTTGTTTGAGTTCTGGCCTTTTTGATAAACAGAGAAATTGGTTTTGAGAATGTGCTGAACGTTAGATGGATTAGCAGTGATAATTGTGTGGAAATTGAGGGGTCGAATTAGAGTAAAAGTAAGTTTAGGGGTGCTAAGGATAATATCAGATAACCATTGGATTCTTTGTTCTTGATTTGCTAATAAGGAAAAATAAGAACCAATAATAGGATAGGATTTTGGTATTTTTGTATTTGATGAAATGGGGTTTTTTCTTGCTTTTTGGAATTTGAGGAAGAAAATTAAGAAAAAAGGAATAAGTGAAAAGAGTAATAATAAGTCTATAAATGTCATTTTTTTTCTCAAGATTGATGATTTTTTTGAGATGAATTTGGTGTTTTTGTGAATGAATATGATTATACATATATAACTTTTTTTTTTGGATGTCGTTATCATATTATTGAGTACACGTTTTTCTACCACACGCATTGACAAATATGATTAGCTTACCACTTTAATGATTGTGGTACGAGGGGTCGGAACGGTTCTATTCTTAATCAAAAAGTTTAGTAATCGAATTTTAAATATTAAAAAAATTGTGAGTTTTTTCATCGTGAAAGTAGATTATATGTAGTTATAATAACGATTAGAATTATTGATTGTCGAAAATTCTGATGTATCAGATAAATCTCCTCGTTTTTAAAGCCTAAAAATCTAGGAAGATGCAAAAACTCTCTTCGAGGTAAACCCTTGTTATCGTATTTAATGGTGTATTATACACTAATACTGTGTTTGGATCATTGTTATTTATTATATTGTATTGTATCGTTGTTAAGTTTTTTGATTGTTACTTAAAATATATTATATTGTATCGTTAAATTTCATTGTAACAATGAAAACTCCTATTTTATGAAACAATCAATTTGATGTATTTCGATTGTTACTTAATTTCTTTTTTTAAAATTATAACCTAAGGTAGGTAGACCATATCCAACTACTTCAATTTATAATGTGAAAAGAAAAGATAATTCATTATTATGTCTAGAAATAATAATGTTTAAAAAGCTAAGTGACGTTAGCTCATACGTTATAAAATACTATCCAAATTCAGACTTTACTTACTCCATACAAATGGAGCTTAATTAGCCAAACAATATTAACAAAATTATATTATTTAATTTGTAATAAGTGATTTGTTGTCCAAGTGTTTTGTGTTTTGTTTTAAAATAATGTCTTCTTCTCTTTAAAATAAATTTCAACCATGTCATACTTTACAATAATAAGTTGTTACTAATATTAAATTTAATGATAATTAACTAATATCAATACATATTTAACACTCTTTGCCACTGAATATATTTATTATTGTTAAAAAATATTTTCATTATAGTGTTCACGTCCTTTTTCCTTCCCTTTTTTTTTGTTTTTCATCAATTGTTCGGTGCACATTAAAATCAGATTAAATTGCACGCCAAGAAACCCCTCATTAAAAATATTATCATTATAGTGTTCATGTCCTTTTTCCTTCTCTTTTTTTATTTTTCGTCAATTGTTCGATGCACATTAAAATCAGATTAAATTGCACGCCAAGAAACTCCACATTAACAGGTGAAGCGCTCCTTAATAATGATAATTTTTTTTTTGCACAATGAAATTCAAATTAATTATTTAGGTGATCTAATATATTAATTATTGATTAATTCAAATTCAGTAATTTTAACTCTAATTTTATATAGGTGTCACAAAATTTACTAAATCATTGATAAAATGTGAAATTTAAACTTATCAAATTTAAATTTTATGAATCTAGATAGCAAGTGAGTGGTTGTTTCCTTTACTTTTTTTAACTTTTGTTCACACGACAAAGATTTGAAACGTGTTGGACCAATCCACTTGGAAAATATAGAATAGAGGACAATTATATTAACACTATTTATTATTATTTTCTTAATATGAATAATATATTTATAATATAATATGATAAAGTTGCATGTGGTGACAAAGGAAGTTTCCCAAACCTATTGTATATTAATTATTATTAATAATATTCGTACAAATTCTCACTTTAAAAGTCAAAGATAACTTTATTATAATTCAAAGAACTAACAAACGTCACCAATTACTTCATATTTCTCATCTTAGATTATCCCAAAACATTTATTTAAATTTTTTTTCCTCAAAATTGAGGACATGATTATATTTTTTGCTAAAAAGATGAAGAAAAAAAAACTAGAAAAATGTCTCTATCTTTGGGGTGAAAACAAGTGATAAGAATTGATAATTTAGAGAACGAAACGAGTTTGAAAATTATTTTGTATTTCTGTGTTTATATTTGATAAACTATTCATTATTTATATGTAAAGGTACACGCATGATTTTCGGATAATATCATATCATATCTTACATAATATTAATGGTGTGATTGTGCTTATTCAAAGTAGAATATTTTCTCGAATCTTGTTGTAATCATATCTGATATACTCAATAACAAGCTTATGTCATTACGAAAAAATGCTACTGAATTTGATGAACCCATAAACGATACTCTAGCTTCGCTCTTGATTGAATAAATATCTTGAAATGAGACCATTTATTAGTTACATTTCTTCCTAATAAAAAGTAATAATGATAAAAAAAAATAAAAAATTAATAGTTTTTCAATATTTGTAATTTAGTTGTATTTAAAATTCACATTTGTAGTGGTTGAAATCTAACTTGGCTAGCTAGGCCATCAAGTTAAACTTGAACAAAACATGGAATATTGATTACATATTATTACATAATATCGAGAGTGGTGTTAGGGTACCGCAAAGGGTTCATCATAATTGTTTTTTTGTCAAAAAATTACACGATATACGTAAGATTATATTGTCTTTCATGTTTATATGGTAGAGATGTTATTGAATCCTATCCTTGGCTTCTTTTGTATATCATTTTACATTTTGAATACTTTTAAGTGGATACAAACCTTAGGAAAAGTTAACATAAATCTGGTACAAATGGTATCGCTGCTACATAACATCAGTTATTTCAAATCTAAATCAACGTGAATCTGGTTTATAGCTCTAATACACGACTTATATATTTGATACATAACCTATGTATTGTTTGCTATCTAACGGGCAAAGGAGCAATGTATTCACAAATTCTGAAAATTTAAAAAATTTTGTAATATAGAGAACTTTTGGAATAGAACATAATTAGCAACCCAAATTAATGGAGTTTCTATACTTCATATGAAATTTTAACTCCGCCACCGCAGAATACTCAATTGCCACTAAAAACAGATGGGCTTAATTATTTTTAGTGAACAAGGCCCAAGTTCTACATAACTGGTCCTTTGATGAACTAGAGCCCAAGTAAAAAAGGACAGCCCAATAATTTCTTTTTATCTTCTTTTTTTGACAAAAGGTTCCAATATAGTGAGGGATCAAACACATTGATTCATTTTTATATGTTATTGATTTGATTTATTGATTATCGGTTGATTTTTATTTATAAACGTGTTCAATTGACAATCAAATCAATAAAATATGAATAATTGGTTAATTGAATAGTGATCAATCTTAATAAAGGTGAATTCAAGATTTCTAGAATATGAGTGCGAGAAAAGAGAGAAATTTATTAAATCGAATTGACACCTAATCCTCGCTCGTAAAAAACAACTCAACCTTTAACCAAATGCACTATTTTATGGTAATTCCTACTTAATAACAATCATGCAAGCAAAAATAACATTTTGTTACTCACTAAGTAGTCAAAACAGAACTAGAGATATAAAATAAGATCATGTTACCGACTCCTCACTTTGATATATTCGGAGATTAAGAAAAAAGTCTCTCGATTTACGTGATATTTTTTGAATTTTGAGATTGAAATAACTTTATCTTTGACCGTAAATTTTTATGTATCTTTTAATTATTGTGATTTATAGTATTTTTTTTTTACGTACTTTACAAATATATAAATTTTATTTCCAAAAAAAAAATTGAAGAATCTATGCACAAAATTTTAGTCAAACTTAAACTGTTTGACTCTTAAAAAACGAAAATGTCAGACAATCGGTATCCATTTAATTTTTAATTGAACAACTTAGAATTGATGATCAAAACTATAGATAAATATCAACTTGTGATATTTTGGCATAAAATACTCTTTCATTTGATTGTTTTTGTGATGTTTTTTGGCCTATGTTACTATTGCTTGGGTGGTGAAGAGGACTACTTAACTTTTTAGGTTCGAGCCTTATTTGTTATACGAGTCGATTTATTATTACTTAATATGAGATGTTTTTGAGCAAATTTAAATTTATTTATACTCTAATATAAGTATCAAAATCTGAATAGAAAATTAGAAAAAGTACATAATATTACGAGTACTCTTAGTCTATAATTTTGCTCCTTGAAATCACAAATCTTTAGTTTTTATACTTTAAAACTACATTATGATTACTTAGAAGAATTCCACGAGTGAAATGATAAAATGTATCCTAACAAATAGAAATAGGATGGCAAGAAGAGAACAATACATATTAATTAAAACAAATTTATCATACAACTATAACATATAGTATTAAATATCAACAATTTTATTCAACATACCAAAAAGTCAATATATACTAGATTTTTTTTTATCACAATTTCAGAAGAATTCTCTTATATATCTATACAAAAAAACAACAACTAAATATGATTCATATTTAATTTAATAAGAACATAATCGCCCTTGAGTAGAATCTTTAATTAATTAACCACATCAAAATAGGTTAAAATTACAACAATATCTTGAAGTAAAAAACAAATAACCAAAATTATTTTTTTTTTAAAAAAAAAAGTGATGATGATTAAAGCCTTAATGACAAATCAAGATGTCCAAAATCCTCTTGAACACTCTCATGACCATTTTTCATTGATTCATAACTCATCATCATCTCTCTTCTTCCATAGCTTATTAAATCATTATTTGTAACAAACCTAGCACCATGACCATGACCATGACTAGTATGGCTCGGACCACTAGGGCTCAACGAGCAATGATTATTACTATTACTATTATTATTACTATTACTATGATTTGACCAACTAGAATGAGGCCCGCGTAGGGTTGAACTCAACTCCCTACTCTTCTTGGCTAGGGTTCTTTCGAGTTTATGAGCATTCTGGTGTCCTCCTAGAGCTTGTGAACTATAAAACTTTCTTCTACAATAATTGCAAGAAAAAACACGTGGCTCAACCGGGCTTAAAGGGGTTGATGATGATGATGATGATGATTGGTCAAATAAAAGATCATTTCTTGATAGACTTAGGTTTAAGGCCGTGTTTGGTTCATAACTCATGACTAAAAATTTCAATTTCGAAGAAGGATAAGACGACGATTATCAAGAAGAACAAGAACAAGAACAAGAACAAGAAAAAGGTAGGGTTTTTTTTTTTGTTGTTGTGAAATTGGTGAGTTGAAATTAGGTTTGTGGGAAGTATAGGGGGGCCAAATGTATATATAGGGAAAATATTAAGTGTATTTGTGTGTATAATAGAGAGAGAGAAAAAAATTAAGAAGGGCATGTCGTGAATTATAAGAAGAGCTAAAAATTTACTAATTTTATATACTCATTGTATAAAATTATTATTATGGATCTTATAATAAAGAATATTACGTATTCGATCCAGAGGAAGAAACTTATAATATTGTAGATTTTTCATGATTAATTTAACTATTAATTTTATGATACTTTTATTTTAACAATTTTTGTTTGTTACACTTTTTTTCTGTCCGCGTAAATTAATCAGAGGTAAGTATAAACACTGTCGCTTTTAACTTTAAATTTGTTTAATTCAACCATTTTGTAATTAATAGGAAAAAACTTCATATTAACAATATATTAAGATGTATTAATTAATGATAGTAGATAAAATTATTAACCTTGACCATATAAAAATGTAAATCTTTTTTTTTTCTAATTAAAAAATTAAAAGTTTTAGAAATATTGAATAGGTGAAGAAAATTGATGGATTTTTTTCATAATATTTTAAATAATAGAGAGACAAAAAAACTGCAAAAATCAGTAAAGGAATCAAAGGGTTGTCACCTCCACTAAAGGCAGCATTACACTCTCTTGTCGGTCTAACTAAGTGTTGGCTAAAAAAAATAAAATTTCGATTCGATTAAATTTGAATTTGTTTTTAAAATTTTTATATTTGATGGCAAATCGCTTCCTCAAAAAAATAAAAATATATTTTTATTCAAGGAAATTCAAAACCTGAATCTCTTCGTAAAAATGAAGAACAATATTTTTCACCTTGCAACACATCTTTTTTCCTTTTTAGCCTTCTTCACCAAACTAAAAAGTCGACTAAATTTGACCTATTTATTCAGATTTTTCATTTAATGTTCGATACTTATATTGAAATTCGACTAAACTCGAATTTATACTAAAAAATATCGCACCTAATAAATATGACTTCATGCCTGGAGAAAATTGAATCTAAAATCTCTAACTAAAGATGAATGAATACTTATTATTCTATCGTAACGTTTCTTTTGTTTTTTCCTTTTAAGTATGAAATTATCCGAATAGGCCATCAAATCATGAGTCTAATCAAAACTTTGGTTGTAGCTAATTAGGTCCCTGTAATTATCACATATAAGACAAATAAGCTTCTAATATCTTGCAATTGATTTTCCCATTAAAGAAACTAATTAGTGATTAAGATAAACTACCTTGACTAGACAAATTCTGCAACAAAATAATTAATTACACATAATTTTTATGTATGGTATACAGGTGTAATGAACTCATGTTGTACCATGTAGTCCTAAACATGTTTCATTTTCTATGTGCACCTTGCCCCTAATTTATAGTACCATAATATAATATATATATATATATATATGTCATGTTTAATAGTTATTATTTTAATTAATTATTTCCATTTTTTAGTTATAATTTGACTAGGAACATGTGCTTTTAACTTTAACTAAACAAGTCATGTTCATTTTCCTACTTTATGAAATTAAAATAATTTAGTTCAATGGATTGGAGTCTTACTATATTAAATGGATGTTAGATATAATTCCTAATAAAAACCTTAAACTTTAACAACTTTTATAAATCAAGATTTTGTCTGCTAATTGTAGATCATAAATCACAATTCACAACAAAGATACATATATATAGACATTGAATCATTAATAATATGAAATTAGGAATAACGTAGGGAGCTCGAAAAGTTATCTCAAATCTTAGAATTTCTCAATCATTATTTCGTTGATTACTGAGTTATATTCTTTAATGCATGTTGCTTGCACTTTCTTTACGGATGTTTCATACTCAACTACGAGTATTAATTATTAGTTGTGATTAATTATTATTGTGTCTGTTCATATTCATTTGTCATGTTTAAAATTTGATATATTCGTTAACAAATTTTTAGTTAATATGATTATTTTATCACATTATCCCTATTTATTACGTACTTCCTCTATCTCCAATTATTTGTTCATTTTTTAATTGATGCACCTGTTAAAGACATGGTGAATTTACTATTTTATCCCTATTAATTATGAAGTGAAAGAAAATTTTTTAATTTTTTTTTATATTTTTTAAATAATTAATTGATGATAATAGATAAAATATATAAACCCAAACATTTGTATACAAATATCTTCGATTCTTCATAACAAGTTTTATTAAACTATAACCGTGATTCATACTCCATCCGTCTTTGTTACTTGTCCATATTTCCTCTTTTAGTTATTCCTTTACTTGTTCATCATTTAAACTTCTTGAAAATTTCGAAGTCTTAATTCATCTCAAAGAAATCATAATTTATAAGAATAAAACTGTAACTTCAATATGTTAGTTATTGCTGTCTTAATATATTTATTATTTTTAAAATGAATAACTAAATAAAAACGAAGGAAGTAATATATAAAATTATAATTTTAACAACACCTCCAACAGTGACAGAATCACTTAGGGATCATCAATTTTCTTGGCAGTGTAACAAATAATTTTATCATTCATTTTAATGCCATTTATGAAGTAGCTTGAATTCAGAGCCAAAAAAGGGTAAGTTTCAAACTTTAGTTCATTTCTGGGAAATGTAGATGTGGCTTATATATATATAGTACTAAATTCCATTACTCTATACTCCTTTCGTTCGGATTATTTCTCATGATTTCTATTTGTAGAGTTAAATTATAAAAATTTTAACTAACATTTTCAGATATATTTTTCATCATATTAACATGAAAGAAATTGAAATTTATAACACTTTGCATATACTTTTATAATATCTATATTTTTCTTTTGAAAATATTGAATTAATGTGATCTAATTTACCTTTGAAAATTAATCAAATTGACTTTCGATTAGCGCAACATGACAAACAATTCCGAATTGAGGGAGTAGTTTATATCGTGGGTCCTTCTATTATATACTGTTCGTTTTTTTTTACTTATTTAATTTTGACTTGTTCTGTTAAGAAAATAAAAATAGATATATCGAGTTTATTATTATATGTCTATTAATTGATTAACTCTTAAATATATTTACTTCCTGCATTTTCAAACATCTAAAACTCAATATTAATAGATAAAGAGTATAATAAAAATAAAAGTATCATTCTTTCTTAATTTATCACATATAACAGCGAAAAAAATAATTAAAATTTAGAAATATTTGACAAATAAATAAAAACAACAAAAATATATATCTTGTATATACACCACTCAAGTGTTCCTATTAAATGAATTTAGATTCAAATTACGTGAGACTTACTTGAGAAGAAATAATTATAATTATTTTATTAAAAATAATTTTTTAATAAAAACATATTCATCTTATCACAATTCTAAGTATCGTACCTAACTTATAATTGATACTGAAAAATATTTATTACTTTACGATTTACAAGAATCAACAGGATCCATTAAATATTACAAAATTTCAGATCAGAGAACTAATATTCTACTATTATATTTTGAGAATTAAAATCCATACGAAAAAATATGTATTACCGAAAACTCTCTATCTTTGCTTCATAACGTCGGTGCGGACCAAACCCCGAAAACGTATTTAAATTTAATGTGAATTATTAATTTTATTCATAAATTATTACAGTTTTATCTTTTTAATTTAATTAATAAAATTTAAATACATTTTTTATTTAGAAATATGAGTGAAATATAATTTAAATTTTAATTAAATTTAAGAGTGTTTTTAAATATTTTTCTGAATATTTTATTAAGAGTCTGATCATGCTCTTATAAGAGTTTGAAACTATTTGCTTTATGATGTGGTAAATCGGAATCATATTAAGTTTAATTAGTCAAGTAAAAAAGTAATTTTAATATTGTCTATGCATCTAGCTAGGTAAATAGTGGAAAGTCAATTCGAATCACATAAGTAGCGAGAGTTGTGATAGAGTGGTAATTAAATACCAGTGGAGGAGTCAGAAATTTCATTCAGAATATTCAGAAATAGCAGCTTGTTATGTTCAGCATCTCCAAAATTTATTCAATCATCTCGTGAATCATTTTACAATTTTCTTTCCTGACGAAGAGTGTCTAATAGGACACCGTTGCCTCCATGGGGCTACTCCATTGGTAAGTACTCTTTTCTTACTCGTTAGAAAGTATTTCACCTTTTAATATGAAATTTTCTTGCCCGAAATAAATTTTATCAAATTTTAATATAAATATTAGATATAAAGTAATAGTCATGAGTCAAAATGGGCATGATCATGAAGATAAACTTAGCACAAAGCACATGGGGATGTGCCTTAAAACTGTTGAAAAATAGGGAAATAATAAATATAATAATCCCACTATTTTAATTTTGATTTATGTAACATTTTTTTTTTAAAAAAAAGATAGGGATGGGCTCTCCTGGAGTATTAATTATTTCTTAGTAATTGTTTGTGACTTATAATTAATTAATAATCATAATAATATTAATTTTGTCTTGTCTGCAGCAAACACAACATAATCTTATAATTAATTAATATATATATATATATATATATATATATATATATA